GAGTAACAAGGATTGTTACAGACGTATTGGCACAGTTAGGGTATGCGACAGAGCCAGTGGTGCAAAGGAGGGTGGTGACGGCTGTTAAAGTAAAAGGAAAGGAGCCAGTGATAGAGGAGGCTGTTCAGGAGGAGCTCTGGGAGGAGGAAGAGCCGGTGCCGCAGCACCTGACAAAGGTCCAGCGCAAAGTGCGTAATGTAGCGCAGGGCGGACAGGGATCAGGAAGAGCGCAGGCACCTCAGGCCCAGGCAGCAGCCCCTTTAAATGTGGCGGCTCCATCATCTAGTACGGGCCCCTCGCAAGGCGGGGCGCCCTCCTATGGGCAGTGGCCATTGCCGGTGATCAATGCAATTGTGCCGTGGGGAAACCCGCCCCCAGTAGCCGGACCGCAAACGAGTATGCCGCCACCCATCTACCCCGCGGCCCAGGCCCAACCTGTGGCCCCGCCACCGTTACCTGATCCCAGTTCACAGGGTAGTATTGTAGGAGGAGGGAATCAGGGGCAAGGCAATCAAGACAATGGAGGTAGGGGTGGAGGAAGGGGCCGAGGCAGGAATGGTGGCGGAAGAGGAAGACAATGGAATGGCCAAGGCCAGGGGTACCAGGGCCAAGGGAGTCAAGGCCATGGGTACCAAGGCCAAGGGAGTCAAGGCCATGGGTACCAAGGCCAAGGGGGTCAAGGCCAAGGGTATCAAGGCTAGGGGGATCAGGGAAGCCAGGGGTATGGAAGACCCCGTTTTGACTGGAGGACGGCCATCTGTCAACATTGTGACCAGCAAGGCCACACTATAAGATTCTGTAATATAAGACGGGAAGACGAGAGAAGCGGACTGATTTCCTCTACTATGGATGGTAATATCTATGATCAGTTTGGGGAGGCCATCGACAGAAGGCTTGGAGGAGTGAGGGCTGAAGCCCAACGAAGAGCAGCAGCTGGACCGCAACCCCCTGCCATGTTCAGGCTATGGCAGGAAAAGGTGGGGCCCCTGATTGGGAAGGAGGAAGTAGGGAGTGATGAGGAAGTGGTTCAAAGGCTACTAGGAAGGAGTAAGAAGAAAGAGTCCATAATCATTGAGGTAGAAGACGAAAGTGGCGAGGAAAGAACGGAACCTCCGTCCGTCTTATATGGGAAGATGGAGGACCTGCTGGATAAGATGGGGAGGTACCAACGGAAGCTGGTGGGCCTCTGTGAGGAAGTGAAGAGATGGAAAACTAGCATCCCCAAGGTGTTCCTTTACGACTCCGGTCCGGAATCAGCACCCGGGCGACCCGGAGTAAATGTGGTGGGGTCATGCCCACGATCAGGAATGAGGGGGAGACCCCTCACTCCGCAGGCACGGCTGACGCAGGCAGCACGAACGAGAAATCAAGCCAGAGTCAGCGCCAGCCAAGAACCTCCGAGGAGGGAGGCGGAACCAGAAAAGGGAAAGGAGGCCGTGGAAGTTGAAGATGATGATGATGACGATGAAGAGGAAGAGGACGAGAGGCTGCGTAGGGAGGAGGATCAGAAAGCGGAGCAGCGGGCGAGGAAAAAGGGAACCAGGGGAGAGATCGAGCCGGTCGTGCGCGACGGACCACCCAAAAGGAAGAAGTACGCGGTCCGGTTGGAAGAAGGATTTGACGTAGGAAAGGTGATTGACCGGCTGCTGGAAGGGCATAATGACCTCATGACCCTGAAGGAAATCCTAGCGTCAGCCCCGCGACTTCGCGATGAGCTGAAGGGGAGGTTGTCACGACGTCTGGTGCCCAATGTCCATCTGGGTACGATTTTGCCCAAGGAGGCAGAGTGGTCGGAGTCAGGCACGAAGATGGATTGGAAATGCGTAGCCTGCGATACGGTGGATTTGATGGTGAAGGGTTCCAAGTGCGCAGCAATGGTGGACGCCGGGGCAGAGATGAACATTATTCGGGAGGCAGACGCGATCAGATTCGGACTGGATATAGACCGTTCTGACTGCGGTATTCTGCATGGAGCCAGCTGTAAAGCCGTGTTTTGCGGGACAGCCTCGAATGTGCTCATCGAGGTTGGAAAGGTGAAGGCCAGGGCATGCTTCTTCATAATGCCAGACGTGGACCATGGAATCCTCCTAGGGAGGTCATTCCTAAGCAGGACAGAGGCCGTGATATTTAACAAACATGATGGGACGTTGATCCTCCTCTTATGCAATCCTGCCTGCGGGAATTATGAAATAATTACTTGCAGGAACACCGGGCCAAGGAGTATAAGGAACCGGCCCAATCCAGGATCGTTCACGATCGAGGAATCGGAAGGGGAGCGCAGGAGACTCTGGGCAGAGCCCGAAGCAGGAGAGAGGGTGGAAGCATTTTCCCTCAGCCTGTCAGATATTGGGAAGGCCATGAATTTGGTCGCCGTGCATGAGATGGCAGATCCGGATGCCATCCAGGCCTTGAGAGAACAAGTTCTGGAATGCCCTGAGGCAGGAAGATTGGAATTGGTATATCGGCTCCCAGGCAGTGGAGGGAACCCCGCATCAGCGCAAATACAATCCGTGAGTCGGCCTTTTTTAGGGGACGGCTCAAGCAGGGTTCCCAAAGGCGGTACAAGACGGTAGATAAGAAGTGCCGCCCAGTACCCGTCCTCGTTACAGAGGACGAGGAAGCATATTACGAGAGGGAACGAGGGTTGATTCGAAGAATGAGGAAAAGTGCTTTAGCAAGGCCATGTCGTATCAATGAAGGGAACGAAAAAGAGTTGATCATATGGGAGTCTGATTTCCTACTGCCCTAGGAGCGAACGTTGATGGTGGAATTAATGAGGAGGAAGCATCGCGCTTACGCATTTAGTGACGAAGAGCGTGGCAGGCTCGATGTAGACAAGATACCTATGATCCGCATACACACCGTGCCACACGAGCCTTGGAACATGAGAGGGGCGCGATATCCCAATCCTGACGAGGAAAGGAAGGTGGTGGATATCTCGACGGCAAGATACATACTCACGTCGCTGACTATTCAAGTGGACCGTATGCATCCCCGTGGTTCTGCTTTATTGAGCCTAACGGGACGCTGCGGTGGGTGCAGGATTTGCAAAGATTGAATGCAGTGACCGTGCGAGATGCTGGGGGGCTGCCAAATGCAGACGCGCTGTCGGAATCCTGTGCTGGAAGGCCTATAATTTCGCTTATAGACCTTTACTCAGGATACGATCAGTTCCCAGTCTACCCGCCGGATAGGCCGGTGACGGCTATGCATACGCCGCGAGGATTAATCCACATGAATGTGGCCCCTCAAGGGTAGACCAATGCGGTAGCAATGGTCCAACAGGCCATGATTCGGGCTATGCAGTCAGTCAGCCCCCATATCACACAGCCATACATTGATGATTTGGCAGTGAAGGGGCCGACGGTGAAAGAGAGCGACGAAGTCTCACCGGGGGTAAGACGCTTTGTCTGTAAACACATCCAGGACCTCGAAAAGGTCCTGAGCCTGCTCGAAGAGCATAACCTCACGGCGAGCGGGGCCAAATCCAGACACTGCATGAGGGAAGCGACTATCTTGGNAGCGGGGCCAAATCCAGACACTGCATGAGGGAAGCGACTATCTTGGGATTCGTCTGCAGTGAGAAAGGCCGAAGGCCGGATGTGAAGAAGACGGACAAGATTACTGAGTGGCCAGTTCCGTTCCACTCAATAACTGATGTCAGGAGCTTCCTTGGTACGTGTGGGTTTTGGAGGGCCTTCGTCAAAAACTTTGCCGCTAAGACTGAACACCTGAGGAAGTTAGTCCGTCAGGATGAAGAGCAAGAAAAAGTGGTGGCAAAAATGAAGGAGGAATTTCGAGAAGGGGGGTTGGTGTTAGGAGCGCTAGATTATGACGCCACAGAGACGCGACCCTTCATTGTCGAAACGGATGTGGGACCGACTGCCTTAGGGGGAGTTCTAATTCAGGCAGACATGGAAGGAAAGGAAAGACCCTTCCGATTTGAGAGTCGGACTCTCTGTACAACGGAAAGGAACTACTCTCAGTTCAAGAGGGAGACCCTTGCTGTCCTCCACTGTCTGCGAATCTTCAGGAACTATATCTTCGGCAGGAGGTTTATTTTGAGAGTGGATCCGATCGCCCTGGCCTACTCTCTAAGGAATTACGTTCCATCGGATCCAACGGTTGCCAGATGGCTGACGTACATCTGGATGTTCAATTTTGAGTTGGAACGGATTCCTGGCAGCAAGAACCGGGCAGACGGTCTGAGCCGGAACAACTGGGATAGACAGGAAGGGGAGGCGGTGGAAAGTACGCCCCCAGTTGATGGATTTCTGGATCAGGAAGAAGATGTTCGTCTCCATATCAATAAGTGGTCACTGCGAGTGCCTAGCTGTGTAGGCTATCCTATTTGGCAAGCGCCGAACGGGTATGAAAGGAGGAATGAGCTAGTCCTTAAGCCTTTTGAGGAAGAAGATCCCTGGGGCGGTAAGGATGTTCAGTGGATGATGGAATTAACACTGGCCAGCTTGCATAGCCTGGTGGAGGATATGAGGACGATTGAGGAAGGACCTGGCCAGGTAGAACGGCATGAGGGCCTGATGGGAGGAATGTATCTCCTCGTCAATACGTTACTACAGGAAAGCCTAGGCCAATCAGGGTCGTTGAACCCGGCAGGGAAGGTAAACGAAGTGCCCGAGAGCCAGGACGACGAGTTCGAGGAAGGGGAGATTAAGGAGGCATTTCGTGCAGAGGAGTACGACGGGATCTACCTAGAGCTGGGGCTTCTTCTGTCATGTGAAATGCGGCTTAGGGATGCAAGCGATAGAGCTCAGAGGATGCTGCGGCGCTATTTAGTGCGAGACGGCCACCTTTTTGTGCGAAGAGAAGTGGGAAATCCTAGGAGAGTCGTCTGCGGTAGAAATCGTCAAATCGACGTCATAGTTGCGCTTCATGATGGCATTGCAAGAGGGCATCGAGGGATACAAGCTACGTATGCCAAAATAAGTGAGCTCTACTACTGGGATGGAATGATGGATATGGTCGGGAAGTTCTGCCGATCTTATGTACCTTGCCAGGAAAGATCCCGCTTAAGACAAGGAGAGTCGCTGCATCCAAGGCTAGAGCGAGAGGTAGGGGCCGTAGTGCATCTCGATCTGCTTTTTATGCCATTTGGAGATCAGGGCTATAACTACATCTTCGATGCGCGCGATAACCTGTCTGGCTTCGTAGACGGGCGTGCTATTCGCACGAAGACCGGGTCAGTCTTAGTGAACTGCATCGAGGAGTATTACCTGCGTTACCCTTTTGTCAGGGAATTCATAATGGACAGGGGCTCGGAGTTTACCTGCCAGGAGGTGCAAGAATTGTTATCAAGGTATGGTGTGGCAACCAACTACACCACGGCCGCGCATCCCCAGGCAAATGCTCCCGTGGAACGAGGACATAGTACCATTACGAGTCTCCTGGCTAAATAGGCAGAAGGTAGGCCTAATCAATGACCAAGATACCTAAGGGCGGCTTTCTTTGTCGAGAATATTACAGTAAAAATATCCACTAAATACGCACCGGCGACGCTGTGGTACGGAAGGCACGCCACCTTCCCTATCGAAAGCTTTCTTAAGACATGGAGGCGCCAGGATATGGAAGTTAACCTGTCATTTGAAGAATTGCTCGATATTCGGGTCCGGCAGATAGGGGCGATAGAAGAAAGGATCCAGGAGGCGTCTGACCAGGTGGCGAGAAGCCGTATGGACGATAAGGCTCGATGGGATCAGTCTGCGCGGGTGAGGAAAGCATCCTTGGCAGTTGGAGATGTCGTGCTTCTCTACGATTCATCACTGGAGAAGCAATGGTCCAGGAAGCTCGATAAGAGGWGGTTAGGTCCCTACCGGATCGCACGGGTCGGAGACTTCGGAGCATACCAGATCGAGGAGATAAATGGGACTGAGTGGAAGGATTGGGTATCTGGAACGCGACTGAAGAAATTTGTGGCGAGAGAAGAGGTAAGAGAGATGACCTGACTGCCTTTAGAATAGAAGTAACAAGGTGTGTAGGTTAGGTAGGATGCATACTGCATGAGTGTAATCTGGTCTGAGCTTGCTTATCACCTGCTTGCTTACCCCAATGTGTGCCTGTTGTCTCCTTCGCCTGTTGTGCAGGCCTGACTTTACGAAGACAGCCATGCCAAGAGGAGGGAAGGGGACACGACCGCCTAAGAGGCCGTTGGGCGCATCAAGAGGATATGAGAGGCATGGACCTCGCCATCGAGAGAGTACTCCAGTCTATAATGATGGGGACATCGAGCTATTCCTGGACAGTTTTTGGGAGCATGCGAGGCGTATGGGCTGGACCGTCGCTCAGGCGATTGAGAGATTGACGGGAGCAGGTACGTTCGAGGAGCCCATTGCCAGGATTTGTAGGGAGGCAACGACGAGATCAGAGGTGGAATGGAGGATGCAGGAACTACGATTCTCGCCTGTGGGACCAGATGGCAGGCCGATCCGTCTAGAAATCGGAAACGTGGCAGACTTCATCCCTGCATTTGAATGGTTCATGCAGGGGCAGGGCATACCGGGAGATGATTGGATGCAGACGCTACCACTCTGGACCAGGAAGGCGGAAAGGCCACTGGCTATGCAGATCAGGGACATGGCACGAGATTGGGAGAGCTGCAGGGCACATCTGAGAGAGGCCTTTCGACGGCCAGAGCTCCCTCTGCCCAGAGTCGAGAGGCGGCAGAGGAGTCAGAGGTCGAGGGACCCTGAGCCCAGGGAGGCGAGACCGTCTCGGGGAGGACGGAAGGCCCTAGCCAGGAGAGAGGAGAAGCCGGAGCAGGAGCCAGAGGTTGAAGAGCGAGGGACATACCCTGAGTGTGGGTTGGGACCAGTGGAGTTCCATCGTTTTACTAAGGGTGGATTGAGGAGGTCGCCAGCACACCCACGGGAGGAGCCGCTAGTGTCTGAAGGGCCGTTGAGAGAGTTAGAAACGCATCTGGATATCTCTCAGTGGAAAGCGTCGCCTCAGGATGAGAAGCATGAAGAGCAAGTAGAGGAGGTGCCACGAGAGGAGGTGCCACAGGAGGAGATACCGCGAGAGGAGGTGTCAGAGGAGGAGGTGCCACGGGAAGAGGTCCAGGGTACTCAGCGAGAGAGAAGGCTGGGCGATGAGGGGAGACGTGCAGGGAAGGAAGTGATAGAGGTTGGAGAGGACACGCCCCTACCGACGCCAGCAGTGGGTTTGAGACTCGGAGATGCACCAGGGAGCACCCAGCAGGCAAAGGAGAGGTTGCATAGAGAGGAGGCCCCTTTACCATCGTCAGAAAAGGCTCCTTCGCCAGAAGGGAGGGCAGCTGTAAGGAGGGAAGCTTTGATTTTGATTGATAGGCACCTAGCAGCTTATGCCCTGGAGCATCCAGACCTGGAGGAGCCAGCACCTGCAGAGCAGCGCTGGGAGCCATACCAACCCGAGAGGGAGATGGAAGCAGAAATCCCGAAGAGGGTCGACCTCCGTACAAGGGAGAGGGCGCCAGCTGGAGAGATGGCTGAAGAAAAGAGGGCGAGAAGAACAAGACGGATAAATGAGATATGGCAGGAGAGACAGAGATTGGAGGCAACGGGGGAGCTCCCGGAGCAGCAACAGGAGAGGCAGCAATTAGAAGCAGCAGGAGCACTCCCGGGTCAGCCACCCAGTGCACCAGCTAGGGCTCCGGAGATTCCTGAGATGTGGAGAGACTTCTGGGAGCAGAGAGGAGAGGAACTTCCATCGCCAGTCAGAGCCGGGTTTGGAGTGGCCAGGAAGGCGGAAGAGAGGTTAGATCGTAAAATTAAGTTCCTGGCCAAGACCAGTTTTGACCGGCACTTGTTATTGGAGGGCGATCTGACAGGGAAGAAGATGAAGGAAGCCAGCCATGGAGTACGCTTGGACGCTATGGAAATGGAAATTCAGGAACTCAGGGCCGTGGTGGCCAGCCAGGCAACTATCATCGAGAGCCTTAGGCAGCAAACCCATGGAAGGGTGGATAGACCAGAGAGCAGCAGGCAGGGAGGGCAGAGGCAGCCGGGACAGGGATTGCCAGGACAGCCATCTGTAGCAGAGCCCCGCCAGGAGCCACCTATGGGGAGAGCTATCCTGGAGCCAGAGGAGGCGAGAGCCCAGAGACAGGCAGAGAGAGAGGCGTTCGAGTTTAGAGCCCCTACTGAGCTTGCGACGCTGCCAGTAGTGGCGGCAGACCCAGTCGTACCTTTGGTAGTAGAGGAGGGGCCGCCACCATCTAGCAGTGAGCTGGCTCAGGGCTCAGCAGAGGGATCCATGGGCG